GCTGATGTTGCTGTTGCTGTTGCTGTTGCTGTTGCTGTTGCTGTTGCTGTTGCTGTGGCTGTTGCTGTTGCTGTTGCTGTTGCTGTTGCTGTTGCTGTTGCTGTTGCTGTTGCTGTTGCTGTTGCTGCTTCTGCTACTGCTGCTGCTGCTGCTGCTGCTGCTGCTGCTGCTGCTGCTGCTGCTGCTGCAGCTGTTGCTGCTGCTGTCTCTGTTGCTGTCGCTGCCGCTGCTGCTGCTGCTGCTGCTGCTGCTGCTGCTGCTGCTGCTGCTGCTGCTTCTGCTTGTGTTGCTGCTGCTCTTCATACTTCATAATGACTTTTATGATGGTGGTGATGATGATGGTGGTGGTGATGATGGTGATGATGATACTGTTTGGCTGGTGGTGTTGAGCTTGTTGTCGGTGGTGGCGGGGTGGTGTTGAAGATCACGGTGATGACAGTTATGCGGATGATTATGGTGGTGATGATGCTGCTTGCACTGATGGTGATCAGGTTACGCTGCTGCTGATGATGATGATGATGGTGGTGATGATGATGACCAAGATGAAGATGAGGACGATGACGATGACACTGAAGATGACGGCGATGATTATGGTGATGATGAGGATGATGATGGTGATGCTGCTGCTGATGACGAGGCTGATGATGATGATGATGATGACGATGATGATGATGGCGAAGACGATCATGGTGGTGGCGGTGGCAGAGCTGTGGCATAAGCTATCTCTTGGATAGCTGTCGCCCCATGCCCTTTTTGTTGCTGCCGCTGCTCCTATAGAACACCTCCAGTGCCCCACCTGGCCTCCAGGTTGACACAGTAAATTGCCGGAGAAACTGTTCTGCCTAATTCAACCTGGAACAATAATTCTGTCGCATCTGGTGAATGCTTCGGATCTTATATCGAGCGCTCAAACCTGAGCTCCTTTCCTAAACGTCTTACACCCCGTGCGGCTCGACCCATTTTCTGAAGCCCTTGCGCGCCGTCCTCCGCAAGAAGGACGAACTCTCCTGAACCATTCTTCCTCGTGGAGTGCCAGGGTTGAGGGTTTCGGGAGCCGAGATTCAAGAAATGCTCAAGCACCGAGAACCCCAGAAAGCCGAGAATCCCGACATCGCGTGGCTAGTTCTCTTTCCCGGTACTCGAGCGGGATCGAGGGTTTAGAGCCCCCGAAACCCTAAACGAGTAATGCTTCCAATAAGGGCCCTGAGCCTCAAGTGCCGAAACCCTGCAGAAGGAACGAGGGTGGAAATTCCTAGAAGTGGTACCGTCTGTGAGCTTTGATTTGTGTCCATTGTAAAGGATCCTGCGAAAAAAGGACGATACTAACATTCAAGTCGATACTAGGGTCCCGCAACCATCGAAACTCCACTGTAGAAGGTATGGAAATGCACCACAGGCTGAACCCTTGCAAACGACGCCGGCTCCAGGTACAGCCGGCTGCACACCCGAAGCCCGAAATTACAGACCTTCACATGGGTGGTTGTCAAAATTAGGGTCCCTTTTTGGGTGCTTATTATAATACGGCACCTATTATCATGGCTGTTTCAACAATACTTTT